TAAGTGAAAAAGACAGCAGGTACCAGGAAGGGAGACTCAAGAGCATGGCATATCTGAACAAAGACTAGGAGGTAGACAGGACTGGCTTACATGGAATAAATGGTAAGTGAAGGGTTGAGGGGGGAAACAAGGGTTGAGAAGAGTGTAAAAGGAGCATTTGGAGCTGAAACTAAAAAGACAACAGGGACAGTAGGTCTTCAACTGCCTTCCCATTTTGTTGAGAAGAGGAATTATCCCTTTTCAAGGTCCACTTGTGCTGTGGCTCATGTCCTCTCTACATTTTCTAATTTGAACTTCCCAGAAATCCTTCACGTTAGAAATTATTCTGATTGTTCAACAATTTGAGAAGGATCAAATGGGGGCTCAGAGAAGTTTGGTAACTTGATCAAAGCCTTGCCATGAGCAGTGGTAGAGCTCAGACTCGCGGGTTCTTTCCAATGCCTCACACTGCCGCCCTGGATGGAAGGCGGTGGTTTGGGCTCTGTCCCATGTAGTCAAAAACCACTGAAGGATTTTAAGCAGGGGAATGATACGATATGACGATGTGCACTCGTGCGAGCAGCATAGATCGTGAATCAGGGAGCAGAGCTGAGAATGCAGATGGGAAGACTAGTTATGTGAGAAAATCAGGTAAGCGTGATGAGGTTCTGAATTATAGGAATGGCCGTGGGCATGACGAGGAGGCAAAGGGTAAGCTGAAGAGAACATGCAAGGGAGTGATTATAGCGATGGACCAAGAGATCTAAGTTGGGCAAAAAGACAATGAAGCCATGGAGGGATGAGAGAAAGTGAGAAGTTGGTCAGGTCAAAGGACAGGAAGGGACATTAATGGGACCACAGAGTTACTGATCCAGGCCTACCTTTCACGAATGGATAAGACCAATTCTTCTCCAACTTTGACACAGTCCACTAGAGGACTGAAGGGTGAGAGGGCTTCCACAGAGTTCTGTCTTCTTGGTAAAACCCACTCTGTGCTACTGCAGTTCTTTTTACATCATTTTAAGCTGCCTAAGATACCAGCCTCCCAAACGTACCCTAGCCTGTCTGAACTTCCGTCTTCCTCCTCTCTCAGACTCTCACTCCAGACACTGGCCATCCCCCAATCTGACCCCTTTTCTTCACTTAACCTCCATCATGCTCTCTGGATCTCATGATCACTCCTCAGCAAGAACATCTATAACCTCAATCTCTTCTCAAGAGTCCGCTTCACCTTTTCATTCTAAGCACAACCTAGCCGCTCTGGAGGATGTGGTTTCCCCTGCCGTCCTCTGTAGCAGTGGCTGTCTGCCTTCCCACACCTCACACTGGCATGAAGTGAGGTGGGTCTTCCGCTGTGATATCCTGAACACCGGTCCTCCTTCCTCTCTAAACGTGAAGACAATCACCCACCACTCCTCTGTGTTGCCGTCTATTTTTCTTGTCACTCCCCCTCCCTCATTGAGGATTTTCAGTATTTACCTTGCTCACCACCCTCTTTCTTACCACCACCCGGGTCTGTATCATTCCTGCTGACGTCAGCATCCATATAGGTGATCCCTTAATACCCAGCCTCCCAGTCCCCTGGCCTCCTCACCTCCTTATCTTGTCCTCTATCCAACCCCATCTTAGGCTCCCACGCCCATGGCCGTGCCCCAGAACCTGACCCTCTGTAATAGCAATATAAAGCATTACACACTTGTACCTACTCTAGTCTCTTCCCTATAACAAGTCATCAAATCTACTGAGACTCCCAATCTTTTGACCTGGCCAACTTTTCACTTTCTATCATCCTATAATGGTCTCAGACCCCTTGATCCACCACTGTAATCACTCCTTTCTATATACTCTCAACTCCCTTGCCTATTTTTTCTTTCATCTTGTACACACACACACACACACACACACACACATCCCTTGGTTAAATCCAGCTCTCCATCTCTCCCATGCCTGTCTGAACAAGACGTGCTGAATGTAGCTGATAAAACTCACAACGCCGCTGACAGGCCTCATGTTGTAATTACGACCATGAGTCTCAAATGAGTCAGTCCTTGGTGACACCCAACAATCCGGTCCATTTATCTAGTCATCTCGTCAGTTGATGACCTTAACGCTCTGAATGACCATTTCGTACATTCTTTTCTCAACAATTCCTTCTTTCATTTAGCCATGGACTTTGCTTGTTTCATCAAGGAAACGGAATAAATCAGAAGAGAACATCCGCATCGTCCCATTGCCACATCTGCCATCCCACTGCACGTGTGAGCTGTGAGCTCTGTACAGCCTCCGCCTCCAAAGCATGAAGTGTTCATGGTCCTGTGTGAGACCTGCTGCTCCACTTGTGCCTGGAATAGCAACCTCTCTCACCACCTCGATTGCTTCTGCAATTATCTCCTGTCTCTCTGCACCATCACTTTCCCCCTCTCTACTGAGTCATTTTAATCAACATACCAATATTCTGGAATATCTCCCATTTTAAAAACAAAAACACAAGCTCCCTTGATCCCCCATCAGTCTCCAGCTATCACCTATTTTTTCTATTAGCCTTTACAGCAAGACCTTTAAAGAACTGTCTCTACTATTCTGATTCCTCACTTTGTTCTCTCTCTTGAACCTTCTCCACTCAGCCTTTTATACCCTTCATGCCACTGAAGCTACTCCTATCTAGGTTACCAGTTACCTCCATGATGCCAAGTTGAAGGTCAGTTCTCAATCTGACTGCTCAACAGTTGCCTGCTCCTTCTTTTGTGAATCACTTTCTTCACATGGCTTTGTGATCCAGCTTTGGTTCTCTTCATACCTTTATGCTCTCTGTCTCAGCCTCCTTTGTTGAATCCTCCTCGTTTGGCCCATTTCTGAAAATTGATGTGCTTCACAACTCAAAGCCCTGGGGCCACTTGATTAGCTGCATTCAGTCCTCGAGTGATCTCATCTCCTCCTTTCCCAAAGTTTTAAATACCAACTACATATGTGGATATATTTGTAAGCCAAACTTATATCTCCAATCATGACATTTCTCTTTAAATCCTGGTGTTGATAACCAACTGTCTGTCAGATATCTTTAGTTAGACATCTAATAGGAATGTCAAATACGATATGTCTAAAACTGAACTCTTGATTTATTTCTTTCAGATCTGCATCTCCCCCTAGTGTTATCCTCAGTTAATGAAATCACTGTTCATCAGGTTGCTCAGGCCAAAAAATCTCACGGTTAATCTTGACTCCTTTCTTCCAATTTCTTAGCTAACACTCAATAGGCTCTACCATCAAAACCTGGACCTGTGAATTTCTCACCACCTGTATAGCACCAGCTTTGTCCAAGCCACCACTGTTTCTCACCTTGACCAGTGCAGTAATGACTGCACTGGTCTCCAGGATCCCTCTTTCTCCTCTCTTCCCTGATCGGTAATACCCTCATGATCCAGGCCCTGTGACCACTGGAGCCTCATCTGCCACCTTACCTCCCTTTTGACTCCTTCCAGCTACACTACCGGTGCTCCTGGATCCTACCAAGCACACTCCCACTTCAGGGCAGTTGCCCTCACTCCCAGCTCTGTCTAGAATGCACTCACTCAAGATATACATGTGACTCACTCCCTTGCTTCATTCAGATCTCTGTCTGGTCTTCCCTAAAGTACCATGTCCCCATCACCCTCTATCTCCTTCCCTGACTTCATGTCTTTACACCATTAAGCCCACCTGACACTGTTCATGTATTTAATTATGTCTCCACCACTAGAATTTCAGCTTCGCGAGGGCAGGGACTTCATATGTTTTGTTCACTCTTGGATTCTCAGTATCCAGAACAGTCCCTGACACGTACAGGTGTTCAATAAGGTTGGGATTGGCACACTACTATATGTAAAACAAATAATCAACAAGGACCTACTGTAGAGCACAGGGAACTATACTCAGTACTCTGTAATAAACTGTATGGGAAAAGAATCTGAAAAGGAATAGATATGTGAATATGTATAACTTTGCTGCACACCTGAAATTAACACAATGTTGTGAATCAGCTATACTCCAATATAAAATGAAATAAAATAAATTAAATACTTATTGAACGAATGAAAGAATGATAAAACTTCCTTGTGAGTCTTGGATGGGATGAAAGCAGGATGTGAGACAAGACGGAACCTCCTCTGCATCCTAACTTTATATTTAGAAGTAGAATATCCAGTGTTCTCAAGTATCTTCACTAGTCTTCCCTCAAACAACATGAACTGTCCTAGAAATCTTCTAGATGTCAGTAGAGAACATGGGATGAAAGTTATAGTTATTAAAGTGACAGTAACTCTTGAGCTTTTTCAACCATACATGAAATCCTATCACCCCTCTGCTTGTTTTCTATTGCACTTTCTCACAGCCACGTGATCTGGCTCCAGCCTACCTCTGAATTCCATCTTGGACCAGCATCCTTCTTGTTCATCTCACTGCAGTCACAGCAGTCTTCTCTGTGTTTCACCAAGGCACCACGCTGGTTCCTGCCTCAGGGCCTTAGCACTTACTGTTCCCCCTGCCTGAACACCCTTCCCTCGGATCTACACACAGCTGACTTCTAAGGATTCAGATCTCAGCCTCGAAGTCTAAACCCAAAGTGCCCTCCCTCGACCAATCTGGCTAATACTCACTGTTCCCCTCTCTTACCTCAGGAAATCTGTACCTACGACTCGGTCTTTTCCTTATATCATTATGTGGAATTACTGGGCTGATTTTTTACTTGTGTATTATCTTCATCCCCCACCAGAATGTAACCTCTGGAGAGCAGGGCCCTTGTCTACCTTTCACCACAGTCTCTCGGCTGGAGCCTGCCTTAGGGTAGAAGCCACGTGACTATTTGCTGCAGAAGGAAGACACAGACCATGTTTTAGGGCTGGTTTAGGGTTGTGCCCACATCAGAAAGCTGCTTTCCCACTTCCATCAGTCAGGCCTGGCTCACTTGGAGCCAGTTAACACCCAGGCCTCCCTCTGCTTTCTCTGCCTGTCTGCCCTCCCTCCCCCAGGACCTCTCAGGCCCTTACCTTGATGGCCCCTGTGGCTATCTGGATATGGTGCAGCCGTCGCAGGGTGCTCTCTCTGTCGATGAAGTAGGAGGCTGCCAGCTGGTGCAGGATCTCCAGGGACACAGCAGAGCTGTTCCCACCGCCCCCGACTATAGGGGCAATTCCTGCCACCTCTGACTTTCGGCTCAGCTTCCGCTTGTCCACAAAAATGGTCAGGGACTCTTCTCCTACAGCAAACAACATGGGTGCACTGGTGAGGCCTTCAGCTCCCTAATCCCCTACCAATAAGAATGTGAAACCCTTCGCCAGGGGAGACCGAGCTAAGAGGGAGGCCACGGCCCCTGCTGACGGACTCTTCTCATCCATGCCATGTTCAGAACAATGTCATCAGACTGCGCCACGGGATAAGGGCACCACTGCCTGGGAGGCCCTCTGCCTCCTCCCTGCTTCCGTAATCTCCCAAAGCTCATTCCCCCGCCCCTCCGGCTTATCCAGTTAACATCCTCTATTGATCTCTATCTCAGGCAATCTACCTCCATGGGGAAGATAAAATTCTCCGTCTCAAGTTGTTTATAAGAAGTCACCGTGGCTATTTCTGCTCCCTAACAAAGGGCAAAAGCCTTGAAGCTCAACCTCCCTTTTCCCCATCAAACACTCAGCGCCTACCACATGCCGGCAGCTGGCCTGAACCCTTGGAGAGTTCCTTTTGTCCATCAGACAGTGAGCTAAATGTTATAATAAATCCTGCTTTCTCCTTTCCAGGGCAGAGAGAATGCTGCCTATTCCCAGCTCTCAGTTCTGCGCTGGGTCCTAGCCATAGGTTGCGCCATCCCCTAGCCATAGGTCCCCTTCCACCTTTGCCTCCATCCAGCCCAGAGTCATTCTAATTGGTTTGGCTGGTTACCAATCTCTACAGAGTGGAAGCAGAGAGGTCAGGGACTCAGTGGACATTTACTTCTTTGCCTACGGGTCTCACTATTGTAGCCACAGCCAATATTAAGATATGGAGAAACCTCGGGGTTAGATGGCTCAGTCAAAAGAAAAGTGGGAGCACTTCTGGCAAGTGCTTAGTAGGAGTCTGTCTGTCCCCCAACCTCCTTACCCCACATCCCCTCCCCAGGAGGATGCTTATAAGCAATGTTCTGGGGTGAATTTGGATGTCAAGAGATTACACTGTTGACAAATGCACCAGAAAGAAAACGTTTCCCAGTCAATAATAGGCCAGGAAGAATAAAAGACCCAGGAAGAGTTTGAAGCTATAGTCAAGGGGTCTTAAAGCTATTTTCGATGAGCTGGCAACCAATGAGTGTAGGATCGTGGTATTGCTTACCTCCGAGGGTGGCAGAAAGTAAGAAGTGAGTGCCGTACTTTTTGATCAGGTTTTCGGTGACCTGTTGCAGGTTGGGTCTCCTTCCGAGGAGGCGGATGTTCCGGATAAACTCTGGGGCAAGAGGCAATGGCAAACTAAAGAAGTCCTTCCTTTCTAGAGCCAGGCTGTTCACTTTCCAACGTGCAAACTCCCTGGAGGAAAAGTCGAGGGACAAGGAAAAGCTCACTGTATTTTGGAACAAGAGGCATAAAATCGGAAGCAGGTAATGTTCTTCCTCCACTTGCACCCCCTCATCTCCTGTCAGCATACATCTCTGCAGATGGAGGGACCACTGCCTGAAAGAGGCCCTCTGGTCTCTGATTCCCAGTCGGTAAGAAAGCCCTACCTCAGCTGACCTCCATTAGTACACGCTCCCATTGGAGAGTGGCTTATTCACCTGAAGGCAGTCATGGTAGTAGTGTAATGGGGAAAAACAAACAACGAAAATATTGGAAGTGGTTTGCTGAAATAAGATCTAGTCACAACTGCAACTCAGTGGATGAGTCACCTCATGGCCTCTGTTACCCATTTTGAAAGTCAGGAGGTGGGTTTAGAACAACAGTTCTCAAACTTTTTGGTCTCAGGACCCGATCACACTCTTAAACATGATCAAGTCCCTGTATTTAGGTGGCTTCTGTCTAATGATAATTACCCCTTTAGAAATTAAAACTGAGAAAATTTAAATTTAGTTATCTATTATTTCATTTAAAGATAATAGAAATAAATCCATCATATATAACATAAATAACATATTTGTGTGACAGTCACTGTATGTTCTGGAACAAAACAGATTTAGTAAGAAGAATGGCATTGCTTTGCCTTTTGGCAAATCTCTCGAGTTTCTGGCTTAGCAGGAGAGAGCTGCATTCTCATATTTTCTTCTAAGTTCAATCTGTTGTGATAATTGTGGATATTCTTCTTCGGTACCACACGAAACTCAACAAATGTACTTTCTTAAAGGTTAATTACAGTGTGGAATCTGAAACCGTTATCAATAAGCTTTTCATACTCAGTTACATTAAAATCCAGCATTCTATATTGTACTTTGAATGGATCTTTTTACTCTTTATGATTGTGTAACATCATGTATTGGTCATCCCTCTGGAAAATATGGGACCACTGAGTTATTCAGATCTTCCACATTTTGACACTTTTTATTATATAATATCAAAACATCATATTTGTTAATATCACCACAAATCTCAAGAAAAAAGTCTTTAAATATTGGAAAGCTGTCAAGCTCACGATGACAAATACAAGTTTTCCAAAATTTCAATTTTCATTTGAAAGCTTAAATTTTATCATTGGTAACAAGTACTGTCAGTTACTTTCCTCGAAGAGGCAGGCTTGCTTCATTCTTTTTTTGTTTTTTTGAGAAAATGTCTGCCAAACACTAAAATCTGAATAACCATAGATTGTTGGTTGTTCTTTCAAGAAAAATTCAGTCCCATGAAAAAAGTGGCTAGTTCAACTCACAACTCAATCACAAATGTATTTTTCTCTGAGATCATCATTCTTCAGTAACCTCAAACATGCTTTATATGTACGTTTCATCTCATCTTACAGAATATTAAAAAAGACATGTACTCATGGGTCAAGATCCAATAAAATTAATAAATTTTACTGCTTCAAGGACATTCATGAAGTTAAGCATACATGTATGTGTGTGTATGTTTAGGTACGTAATGATGAATACCTGACTACTAGTGTCCTTTGGTGAGACTGCCCTTATTTAAGTTAAGATGCCAGCAGTTTCATTCACCATTGCTTTTGCACCTTTATTGCAAATGTCAGCATGGACATCCTGAAAGGAACTAAGAGGATGTACATTTTGAGAAGCTCTATTCTAGAAGATGGCAAAGTTCCCTTCTAGTTCCATCCGGAATTTTAATCTTCACGCTTTACTCCTCACTGAAATATTTGTATTTTAAAGGGTGAGATTTAAATGATCATATCCACTAGTAAAAAAGGGGTTTTCCATTGCCTCCCAAATTATACTAGTAAGGATCAGCTCCACTGCCTTAGAAAACCACAAAATGTAGTCTTCTCAACTTTCTCACCCATCCCAACTCTGCTCTTCATGACAGGGCTAAACCTTGGTCTAAACTTCCCCCAAAATCCATGAAGTACAAATGACAAGTCCACAGAAAAAAATAAAATAATTCAAAATAAATAAATAAAAATCCATGCCCATTTGAGGCTACAGAACTCCCCTATCTAATTCTAGAAACTAAGACAGAGAGCGGGGGCATGTGCCAAACATTACCAGGGAAACAAAGGAAAAGGGATAACTAATAATTCAGGGTTCTGACAAATTAAAATTCCCACTGTGTGGCTTTATTTATCTAAGCAGGTAGTTCATAATAATGCATTATCTTTTATTTCCTTTGTGGAGGAAATGCTAAACTTTAAAGTACAGGGTATTTGTCAAAATATTTTCTATCCCAAATCCCACTGCAGCATAAAGAACAGTTGCTTGAACTCACTTCTTATTGGCTGGATGGCCAATCAAAGACATAGAGCAGCTTATTAAACAAACAAACAAACAAAAAACCACAAGATCCAACCATGTTCTGTATACAAGACTCACTTCAGCTTTAGGAACACATACACTGAAAGTGAAGGGATGGAAAAAGATATCCCATGCAAATGGAAACCAAAAGAAAGCTGAGGTAGCTTACTTCAGACAAAGTAGATGTAAAGCCAAAGGTCATTATATAATGATAAAGGGATCAATTCATCAAGAAAATATAACATTTATAAATATTTATGCACCCAACATAGGAGCACTGAAATATGTAAAGCAAATATTAACAGATCTGAAGAGGGAAATAGACAGTGATACAATAACAGAAGGCAGGGCTTCCCTGGTGGCGCAGTGGTTGGGAGTCCGCCTGCCGATGCAGGGGACGCGGGTTCGTGCCCCAGTCTGGGAGGATCCCACGTGCTGTGGAGCGGCTGGGCCCGTGGGCCATGGCCGCTGAGCCTGTGCGTCCGGAGCCTGTGCTCCGCAACAGGAGAGGCCACAGCGGTGAGAGGCCCGTGTACCGCCAAAAAAAAATAAAATAGAATAACAGAAGGCAACTTCAATACCCCACTTTCAACAATGGATAGATCATCCAGACAGAAATCAGCAAAGAAACATTAGACTTAAACTATATGTTAGACCAGATGGACTATATGTTACACCAGATGGACATAACAGATATTTATAGAACATCCCATCCAGCAGCAGAATACACTTCTCAAAGGCACATGGAACATTCTCCAGGATAGATCACATGTTAGACCACAGAACAAATCTTAATAAATTTAAGAAGACTAAAATCATATCACACATCTTTTCTGACCACAATGGTATGAAACTAGAAATCAATTACAAGAAGAAAATGGGAAAATTCACAAATACATGGAGATTAAACGACATGCTCCTGAACAACCAATGGGTCAAAGGAGATATCAAAAAATATTTAGAGACAAATGAAAATGGAAACACAAATACAAAAACCTGTGGGGTGTAGTAAAAGCAGTTCTAAGAGGGAAGATTATAGCTATAAATGCCTACATTAAGAAAAAATAAAGATCTTAAATAAACAACCTAACTTTACACCTCAAGGAACTAGAAAAGAAGAACAAACTAAGCCCAAAGTTAGTAGAAGGAAAAAAATAACAAAGATCAGAGTGAAAATAAATGACATAGACACTAAAAAGACAATAGAAAAGACCAATGGAACTAAAGGCTGTTTTTTGAAAGGTTTAAAAAAAAACAGGCAAATTGTTAGTTAGACTAAGCAAGAAAAAAAGGAAAGAAGACTCAAATAAAATTAGAAATGAAAGAAGAGACATTACAACTGATATCACACAAAGGATCATAAGAGACTACTATGAACAATTATACACAAAATTGGACAACCTAGAGAGAATGGATACATTTCTAGAAATATATATATATATATATATATATATATATATATATATATAAAACCTACCAAGACTGAATCATGAAGAAATAGAAAATCTTAACAGTCTAATTACTAGTAAAGAGATTGAATTAATCATCAAAAACCTCCCAACAAACAAAAGTCCAGGATCAGATGGCTTCAATGGCAAATTCTACCAAACATTTCAAGAAGAATTAATACCAATCTTTCTCAAGCTCTTCCAAAAAATAGAAGAGGAGGGAAACTTTCATACTCATTTTATGAAGCCACCCATACCCTTATACCAAAATCAGACAAGGACATTATAAGAAAATAAGATTACAGGCCAATATCCCTGATAAACATAGATGCAAAAATCCTCAACAAAATATTAGCAAACTGAATTCAACAGTACAATAAAAGGATATACACCTTGATCAAGTGGGATTTACTCCAGGGATGCAAGGATGGCTCAACATCAAATCAATCAATGTGATACACCACATTAACAAAACAAAGGATAAAAATCATATGATCATCTCAATAGATGTAGAAAAAGCATTTGACAAAGTTCAATATCCATTTATGATAAAAAACTCTCAAGAAAGTGGGTATACAGTGAACATACCTCAACATAATAAAGGCCATAAATGACAAGTCCACAGATAATATCATACTTAATGGTGAGAAGCTGAAAGCTTTTTCTCTAAGATCAGAAATAAGACAACATTGCCCATTAGCACCACTTTTATCCAATATAGTACTGGAAATACTAGCCAGAGCAATTAGGCAAGAAATAAAAGTCATCCAAATAGGAAAGGAATAAGTAAAATTGTCCCTATTTGCAGATGGCATAATATTATATATAGAAAACCCTAAAGACTCCACCAAAAACTGTTCGAACTAATAAACAAATTCAGTAAAGATGAAGGATACAAAATAAATATACAAAAATCTGTTGCATTTCTATAAACTAATAGTGAAATATCAGAAAGAGAAATTAAGGAAACAATCCCATTTACAACTGCATCAAAAAGAATAAAATACCTAGGAATAAATTTAACCAAGGAGGTGAAAGACTTGTACACTGAAAACTGTAAGTCACTGATGAAAGAAATTAAAAAGACACAAATAAATGGAAAAATATTCCATGCTCATGGACTGGAAAAATTAGTATTGTTAAAATGTCCATATGACCCAAAGCAACCTACAGATTCATTGCAATCCCTATA